CCAGCAGCGTGGTTTTGTAGCAGAGCAATCTGTTCCCAGGGAGTGCGTCCCTGTGCTACCCACAGCCACATTCTGGGTGCCTCAGTGAAGCTCGGGGACATCACCAGGTCACCTGGGGACCCACAGCACACCAGGCAAAAATGCACACCTCCTCTATAGCTGCTTCAGGATAACCTCGACACTGCCATTCCTGGGGTGCTAACTCCCTGAGTGACCAGCCAGTCACGTGTTGCCTCCCTGTGCTTCAGTTTCCTCATCTGGAGAATGAGGATGATGTTGCCAAGCAACAGAGCGGCTGAAGCTGGAACCGGTGGTGCTCAGCATTCTTAGCTATGGGATCTGGCTGAGAATATGCAGACACTTCAAGAGTGGGAAGAGGTACTTGTTACCTTAATAAGTGCTCAGGGAGCCTTGCTGAGAATGTGATTTTAGAGGGGACAGTGAGTTCTGTGGATAGGCTGAGGGAAGGGGGGGGTAAGTGCAAAGGCCCTGAGGCAGAGGGAGAGTAGAGAAGGGGAGATGTCACATGGTTAAGAATGCAGTGTTAGGGCCAGGGATTTAGCTCAGTGGTTCTAGTGACTCCCTCACAAGTGCAAGGGCCCGAGTTTGATCCCCGGTACCAAAAATAAATAAATAAATAAACAAACAAATAAATAAAGAATAAAGAATGCAATGTTAGATGCTATAGGGTCTGTAAGAAAGAGTATTGAGGTCAAAACAATATTGAAGGCTGGGGATTTAACTCAGCGGTTGGGTGGCCTGCCTTGCAAGTGCAAGGACCCGAGTTCAATCCCTGGTACCCTCCCCCAAAAAAACCAAAAAACAATATTGAAATAAGAAGCCAGAAGCTAAATGTCTCTTCTATGAGGTAAACTGAAACACTGGGGCATAAGCAGTAAGGTAGTAGGTGAAGACAGGAGAGAAACATGAGAAAGTAGCATTTACACGGAAATAGATTTTTTAGGTGCTGCCCTGACACTCTCCCAGGCAGTCTGACAAAAGCTGGCTCAGTGCCATGTAGACTGGAAGCATCTCATGGGGTGGAAATAGCTCTTGATCCAACTTAGGGAGCCTGGATAGATTCTACCCCAGCTCTGCCCTCCACTGGGTCCGTCATGCTGGGACTCAGTCTCTGCCTCCGTGGAATGAGGCAGAAGGACAACACGCTTTCTATAGAATCTTCTGGAAGCCTCATATTCTAGTATTGGTCTAGGTTTTCTCTTTCCTGGGATAAATGTGCTATAGCCACTTTAGCAATGAAAATGTGTGGATACACACTGGGTGTGGCCACATGATGTGACCACTAGAACTTGGGGCAGTGAGGGCCAGGCCAAGAGTACTGTGGGACCAAGAGGGCAAGAAGCGACCTTTCCCCCATCCAGCCCTTCTCTTTGGGGGCCACGGAGGACACAGCTGGGTGGGATACTCCAAAGTCTCATCCTCTGTTGCACGTGGGAATTGTTCTGACCCCACTTGGGACAAAATGAGGCCACTTTCTCTGTTTGGAGACTAGGAAGAGTTCTGTTCAAGAACAGCCACAGAACAACTTTGAGGGAAATATACATTGAAGGTCTGGGGTATAGCTCAGATGTAGAGAGTTTACCTAGTAGGTGTGAGGCACTCAGTTCCATCCCAAACAACACACACACACACACACACACACACACACACACGTATTCAGGTTTGACAAACGCTTACCAAGTGCCCTCCATAGGCAGGTGTTTTCATGTGTTACCTCAATCAACCCTTCCAGAGACTCTGAAGTAGGGTTTCACACTCACCTTGCAGATGAGGAAAAAAGGTTCTGAAATGAACTTATCCACATGGCTTGTAAGTGTGGTGCAAGGTGGCCTTGCTCAACAGCCTGGGCTCTTAAGTCTCCTCCCTCCCGCTTTTCTTCTCTTTTTCTTGCTTTCTTCCTTCCTCCCTTTTTCTCTCTCTGCCCTCCCCTTTCATTTCCCTTCCCTTCCCTTCCCTCCCTCCCTTCCTTCCCTCCTTCCTTCCTTGTGCTTGGGGTCAAACCCAGAGCCTTGCACTTTCAAGGCAAGCACTCCACCACTGAGCTGCATCTCCAGCCCATAGATAGCTACCTTGCTGTCCATTTACTCTTAATCCTTAACTTGACCCCCAGGAGACCGATTCGGGGAAGAGGAAACTGAGGCTCAGAGAAGTGAAGCAACTTGCCCAAGGTCACACAGACAGCATGAAGCAGAGCTGGCATTTGCTGCCAACCCTCATAATCAGGTTGCTGAAAATTGATGTTTTTCATGCAGTCATCCTAATCAAACATCCCACTCCCCAAATATTCCATCTGGGCTGCAGCTCTTGCTGAAGGGATACAGTGGAGTCATTACCAGACTCAGGAGAGATAAAGCATTGCAAATTGAATGAGGAAATCTATTTTCACATCCTGATGAAGACATAACTGACAATGAAGGAGTGGATTGTTCAGGAGAAAACACACAACCCCCTGCTTTTCTCCTTTTCTTAAAACTCGGGAGTTATAGTTTTAGAAAAATAAGAGCAGCTGACTATCACAGATAAAAATGCCCTTTTGCCTAATTGGATCTTTAATAAGGAATCCTAATTAATTCCCCTGAATAGAGGAGTTTTACCCTGGTGTTATCTCAGCCCCTTGCTGATGCTGCCGGTTATTTCCAGATACAGAATAATGAATCTTTTCCAGCCAGGCTAAGAGTCGCCAGAGACTTGTCAACTTCCTTATGAAGGTAATTACTTGCTAGGGTGCCAGGGGGAGGTGGAGCTGGGAAGGGTCTGGGCCGGGGTAGTGACAAGCCCCGGAACGGGGGCTCTCGGGGGAGCTCAGTGGGTACTGCACAGCCTGGAATGAGAGAAGACCGGAAACCGTGAAGGAGCTGCTGGTGGAAGGACGGATCCCGTGTCAGTACCCATGATGTCCCCAGCTCAGAGCGAGGCCTGAGGGACACCTGCCCTCAAGTGAAAAGTGTCACTTGATGGGGTTTGACAGATTCCAATAATGGTGAAAGCTGATGAGGCTGTGAACAGATGCCAGGAAGCAGGCCTGCATGTGACTCTTCCTGGTCAGGGGAAAGGCTGGGCTATCTTTGCCTGGGGATGCTTGTGGCACCATAAAGACAACACTAAATGAAACAGGTTATCTGGACAACTCAGGCCAGAGACCAGCAACAAGATGGATGCAGCTAAATGACACAGGCCATTTGTCTGCGGTGACACGGCTCTCCAAGAGAGGAACACTGATGGCAGGCTGGCCCAGGTTGGCCTGTGGGGCTTTCAAGGAGCTGGCAGCATGTGGCAGACAAGGCCTCAAGGAGTCTGGTTGCCAGGGAAGCCAGCCTGCATCTTTAACTGGTTACCACCCAAGGAACGGACCGCACAAGGACAGAGGATCTAAGGCTAAGGGCTCAGGCCCTGCAGCACCAGTCCAGAGGACCCAGTCTCCTGACCTCCCAGGTCCAGAGCTGCAGGAAAAGAAAGAGATCAGCCCCCTAGTTTAGAGTCCAGAGGATAGGGGTCCAACAACAGAGGGGTTCAGTCTGCAACTGCAACTGTGAACTAGAGCATGAGATTCTGGTGAACCTTAGTTTTTTACAGTTGCTTGACTATGCAAAGAAAGAGGTAAGATAAGTGCCTGACAGGTAGTGAACACTCAAGCAAATAGCATCTGTCTTTCACTCCCCGAATCCTCCTGGTTCCAGGTTCCAGAAATGTAACCTGGAGAGTAGATCCTGCTGGAGGGAAATCTGTGGCACTGTGGTCAAAGGTGAAAAGTGAGGCAGGTGTCAGAGACCAAGCCTCAAGTCCCACATGGCGGGGAGGACTCAGCACCTGCCTTGTGAACTAAGGCACTGGAAGTGGAAAATTTTGAGTGCCTTGCACAAAAGGAAGAGCCAAAACCACTACCACTTACCTCTGATTTTATCCTATCCCCTTCATAATACTGCCAAGTAGCCCCCCAGGGCCAAATCTAAAAAGCCCCCAGATCTCAAAGCTGCTCCTGCTATGGCCTCCACTTGCATCAACCAGAAGTTGCCTCCCAGCCTCACCAGCTGCAGAGTCCAAGACCACCAACCCCCTGAACCTGTGAGTGGCACTGTGGGCAGCTACCTGCAGAGAGCACATGCTGAGAGACCTGGGAGTGGGGGTTGGTGGGGGGCCTTTTCAGGTGCTGTAGCCATACAAGGTCAAAGGAAAGACAAAAAAAAAAAAAAAAAAAGGTTGAAAAGCCGGACCTGTCCAATGTCAGCTATGCCAAATTATTTCTTGTAACTTTATGTAAGGCCATGAGAGAGTAGGTTAGCTGAGGCTACAAGAAGAGTTGGCAGCAGAATTGGTACCGGAACCGGACCTGACTCTGAATGCTGTGCTCCATGCCGTTTTCTTTGGTGTTGGGACAGAGAATGAATCAGAGCTCAGGGAAACAGAAGTGTGTGGGTGTGGGGGTAGGGGGTATGGATCAGGCTTTAGAGTACAGAGGATAAGGTGTGGGGTGGATCCAACTCCAGACCCAGACACTAAGTGTATGACCCTTACCAGTTTTCTTCGTTTCTTAGAGTCTTGGATTTTCCATTTGAAGAAGAGAAATGACACTACATCCTGTCTCCAAAGTTTCATGAGGATTAATGAAATAACGCATGTGAAATCTTAGCATGTGCCTGACCCACAAAAGCTTGTTAAGCCGGTTACACTCCTGACAGGCAAGCTAAGGCGGGAGGGAGGCAGGTCTTCAGAGGCTTGAAGAGGCCTGTGAGACTACATCAGAGCCTGCTTGGAGGGCAAAGGATGGCTGGCCTAGGATCTGCACAAGGAGTAGGATGGGAAGACCTAGCTTCAGGGGAGGGTGCTAGTGAGAAGGAAGTGAAGTGTTCGAGGCAGTTTTTTGCAACAGGAAGATGGGTATGCTGAGGCCTAATTCAAAGATGGTGGTGAAGATTCAATGCAACAAGCTGTGTGATAGCACTCAATATATGTGATGGTCTCAATTCCATCACAGAAGCAATCGACAGATATCGGTATATTTACCCTTATATAAAAGGTAATTCCTAAAGGTAAATCTTATTATGTATACAATATGATGTAGTAACAACATACACATGCACACATAGATAAGAACAAATTAGCCCATTCGTCATCTGCATGTAGTTATGCAGTCCCCTTTAGTCCCTGTGACATAAGCCAGACACAGAAATACATTACATGATCTCAGTAATATGCAGACTTTCAAAAAACCCACATCATATATACGATATAGTGATAGAGAATAAAACAGTGATTGTTGGGCTGGGGATTTAGCTCAGTGGTGCCTGCTGCCTGCCTTGCAAGCACAAGGACCTGAGTTCGATCCCCAGTACCAAAAACAAACAAATAAACAAACAAAAAACCCAAAACAACAACAACAACAACAACAAAACAATGGTTGCTAAGGTGGAGGAGTTGGAAAATGGAGAGATGCAGGTCAAAGGATATAAGAGTAGAAAAGATATAGGATGAAGAAGTTGAAAATTTGATGTACAACAAGGACCATAGTTAATAATAGTATTCATTTATCTTGACAGTGGTCCTGTTGCTAAAGGGCTCTGAAACCTGCAAGGTGAGCCCAGATCCATGTGCTTTTCTTTAAGTGGTGGTGAGACAGGGCCGCAAGGGTGGTGTGGAGACGCTGATCTCCCAGGCTGTGTTTATTAAACAGTGAGCCAACCTTTGTATCCACGTGAGCCAGAACTTTTGATCAGCATTGAGGACTCAGAGATGATGGGCCAAATCCAAGTGCTTAAGGAACTGAGCACGTTGAGGGAGGAGGTGTGACAGGGTCAGTGTCTTTGGCCAGTGCAGCGGGAGCCTGGGGTAAGGGATAGGAAGGCAGATCCCCCACCTCTCAAGGTCTAGAGTGGAGATATCTTTCACCCTGGCTGCACCAAGCAGACAAGAACTAAAGCTAAACTTCCGTGGCCCCTTAAAAGGCTCAGACTTTTTAAGTGAACAGGCTAGAAAGTCCATGCTTTATTAGTGGACTTATCACAGAAACTGGCACAGAAGAGGCAGACAAAATGAATTGTGAAGTAAATTAGTCAAATCCATGAAGAGTCAGTGCGTTGCATTTTTATACATAATAGATGTGTTCACTCAAACCGTGCATAAACCATGACCAAACATGGAGGTCAGATACAAACTGGAGAGCTTTCCCACCAAGAAATCTGCTAATGAAACCTTCCACAAGAGAACAGACCATTTTATTGTGGGTAAAATTCCACTGCTTATGTCATTGTTCTGGAAAGGGTTCTATTTGAGCCCCAAATGGTTCTGCTTGAGAACAATTAGAAGAATGCTTAAGAGTACTGAATGGAAGTCCTGTTTCAGAAGCTAAGGATTCAACGGACTGGAAGAGATCTCAGGAATCTGCATCCTGAAATCTCTTTTAGGGAAATCTCCAGAGTGAGGAGTTGGTTGGAACATCACAATCTGAGGAATGCAGGGTGGGTTCCAGAGGGTATCTTTGAAGCGGGGGTATGACTGCGATGAGAGAGAAACTCTGGGTTCCCTGGAAGCTGACACGTCCGGCCAGCTCATCTCCACACACCCTGCTGTTACAAAAGACAGAGGTCGCATTTCTTGCTTCACCCCTTCATCCTGTGCTCTCTTTCCCACCCCTTCATCCTGTGCTCTCTTTCCCAGAGTCCTCCTGGGCTCCATCAGTTCACTGTTCTCCACTGCAGTGCACACTGAGAACCCACAGAGAGCTTTAAATACGGATACTTACTGCTACTCCTGGGCATTCTGATATCCTTGGTCTGGGGCGTCACCTTGCCACCCTGACCGTGTAACGGTGATTGAGGTTGCACAGACCACACTGAATCCTTTCTCCCTGCGCCTTCTTTCTGGCCCAGAGATCAGTGTCAGCAGACCTCTCTGCCTTCTCTGAGTCTCTCCTTACCCATATTTCTAGAGGCCAGAAGAGGAATCTAGAGAGTAAAGATGGATCCATGTGCAGGACTGGAGGCTGCAGACTGAGAGTTAAAAGAGGTCTCCAGCGGTCACCAAGTTCACTCCTGACAGTGGGTAGTCCGTTCATCACCCTCTGATTGCCTTTTCTCTTGTCTCCCTGGGGTTTGCAGGCAGGAGGCAAAGAGCACTATAAGGACCCCTGGTGGGAGAGGTTACTGGCAAATTAATTCCACTCCATCCCAAGGGCGGGCGGAGCAAGCCATGCCCATCAAATCTCTGGAACTGCTTACTTCCAGGCCCAGGGTGCTGGACTCAGGCTCACAGGAAGTGGGAAGAGGATCTGAAGCCCTGAAGCCCGACTGGCTGCGGAAATTGACATCAGGTGCCAGACAGGCATTTGCTTAGCAAACTGGCTAATTTTAACCTCTGCCTCCAGGACCAAAACTCTTTTGAAGACAAGGAATAAAAAAGCAAGTGATATTTAACACATTTCTATTTTTGTGCTACATAGTCTGTCTGAGGTTGCAAGTTGGAGCCTAATTGATTTCTTAGTTAAAAAAGGGGAAAAAGACAAAAAGGAAAAACAAACAACTGAGAAACCTCTCACTCACGTTGCAATCAAACTTCTCCAGTTCTGTCAACTGCTGAGTTTTTCCTCTTTTTTTAAGGTTGGCCAAGTGACTTGCATAATTTAAAATCTTTTCCAGCACTGATCAGCTTTCTCTGGCCACGCAGTTTGCTGATTAATTATTAATCAGACTGAGTTTAGGAGGAGTAATCAGCAAGAGTCAGTGCTAATTTGCAAATGTCCCCCAGGAAGGTTATTACTTAAAATACTTGGTGAAGAGGCTCCATGTTAACCTTTGCAATTAGCCACAGGACATTGGTACCAAGCATAAGCAGCTCTGTCCTCTGAACAGAACAACCCTGGGCACCTACTAAGTGCCAAGCCTTGCACTCAGGGCTTTTTGTGTTTCTGCAGGCAATGATGCAGGAGAAATTGGCGAATTCCCAAGCAAGCATGAAAATACCAGGTCTTGACAAATACCTAAAATAAAACAAGATACTGTGACAGGGAGTGAGGGGCTACTTTAGATTCCATGGACAGGGAAGGCTTTTCTGGGGAGAAGAAATTTAAATTGAATTCTACATTTCAAAAAAAGGCAGGTCTTTTTCTTTCTTTTCTTGTTTTTTTCCCAACGTTGAACGAAGAGAATTTGAAGACATTGAAGGAGGGTTTTAAGCCAGTGCAGAGGCCCCAAAGGGACCCTGCTTAGCCCATCAGGGGACAGAATGAAGGCAAGTACAGCAGGGGCATGGTAATGGCACCAGTGAGGGACAGGAGGGAAGGGCAGAGGCTAGACAACACAGAATCTTATTCTGAGATTTTACTCGGCATGTGATGGGAAGCTTAAATAGGAGAGGCATGATTTGGTTGACAAACATAAGTCACTCTCATTGCTATGTGAAAAATGGGTTAGGAAAAGGAGTCAACACAGGAGGCAGAACATTGAATAGCCCAAAGAGGGAATAAAATGGGCAGAAGTAGTTTCCCCTTGGGACAGGTGGAAGGGGAAGACTGGGAGAGGGCCAGATTACACTGGTGAGGGTAGAAGCTTGAATTTAATTAAAATAACCCAAATGACCATCGATATACAAATGGGTAAACCAAAGTGTCATATAAAAATACAGAATATTAGCTAGCTTTGAAAGAAATGGATTCCAACACATGCTACAATATGGGTAATCCTAGAAAAACCTTATGTCAAAGAGAAATAAGGCATACACAAGGGGACAAAATCTGTATGATCTCACTCATGTGAAATATCTAGAGTAGACAGACTCAGAGAGACAAAAAGTGAAATGGTGGTTACCAGTGGGTGGTGAGTTATTATTTAATGGATGTGGAATTTCAGCTTGGGAAGGTGCAGAAATGCTTAGAGATGGATGGCGATATTATCAACTATTAAGTATCCAATGTATTTAATGCCACTAAATTAATTTATACTTAAACTGGTAAATATATATATATATATATATATGAATTTAAATGTCTATATATATATATGAATTCTTGTTAATATACATGGAGCCTGGACTATCAGGTCTGAACATTTAAATGAGAGTTTGGGGTATAGAGATGATATTGAAAAACCAACTTGTTATTGGCTAAGGGGACCTAAGAAAGAGAGGCGAATAGAGAAGAGGAGGAGGTCAGGACCACCTGGGCAGTTTTCAAGGTTGGACACAGGATGAGCAGCAGGAAAGGAGACAGCCAAGGAGCCTCAGAAGGAATGGGCACGGAAGGTAGATGGTTTCTTGGAGCCAAATGAAAGAAACAGTTCAATGATAGACGACATATTGCCAAAAGGACAATCACATGAGGATGGAGAGGTGATACTGTATTTGGCTACCTGGAAGTCACTGGCAATCTTAGCAAGGTCAGGTTTAGTGGCAAGAACCCAAGAGGACTGTTTTGGCGCGAAGCTCATGGCTGACCAATCAGAGGCGGCTGAATGGGGTGGCGTAATGGGGGCTTTGGTGGGTGTTTTGGTTGTGATTTTAGATGGTGGATATTAGAACTCAGCCCTCTGCTCTTGGGAGTACTCTAAGGAAAGGGTAAATATAAGGAATGCGAGAAAGAAAAGATGGATTCAATTGGGGAAACTGGGGGAAAATAAAATCTGCAGCATAGGAGAGAGGTGAGCCTTCGATGGGAACCAGGGCATCCTGTCTGCTGAAACACTAGGAGCAGCAGCATTTCATCTGTTCACCCACATTTCCTGGCTCTCCTGGAGCTAATCTGGACCACGTGACAATGTCTGACCAATGAATATGAGTGGAAAGTGAGGTGTATGATTCCTGGGTAGTGTAACAAAGCCATGCTGGATTCTCCACTTACTTTTCCTGCCATGGCACTGAAGGTGGCAACATATTCCAGAGAGTGAAGCTACTTGATGGTGCAAGCCCCTGGAGTCTGGTTATTCACCTGCATCACTCTGTAGATCAGAGCCACTCCTACCGGCCCATGACAGAAATTTAAATAACATGAACAATAAATATTCCTTTATGGTGTTACACCACCAAGTTGTAGGATGAGTAAAATTCATAGTAGTTGAGGCTGGGGTGGTAGGCAAGGGTTGGATCAGAAGGGTCTTGTGTGCCCCATCAAGGGTGTGGATATTATTTTGTTAGACAACAAAAGATGATTGAAAGTTTTTGCCTGGGGCTTAGCATGTGAGAGCAGCATTTTAATGAAGCCATTCTGGTAGCAGTGGGGAGGATGAACTGTAGAGTGCCAAGATGCTGGGAGATCAGTAAGGAAGCTATTAGAACTCACAAAGAAAACAAGATGATGGGCTGAATTCAGGGAGGGGCAGTGAGGATGGAAAGGCATGTTGTAGGTGGTACATTGGTTGAATTTAACAATTAGTTAAATGTGGCTGGTGAGACAGGGATTAAATCCAGATGATTCCCATATTTTTGGATAACCAGGTAGGTGGTGGATTCAATTGGGGAAACTGGGGGAAAATAAAATCTGCAGCATAGGAGAGAGGTGAGCCTTCGATGGGAACCAGGGCATCCTGTCTGCTGAAACACTAGGAGCAGCAGCATTTCATCTGTTCACCCACATTTCCTGGCTCTCCTGGAGCTAATCTGGACCACGTGACAATGTCTGACCAATGAATATGAGTGGAAAGTGAGGTGTTAAATTAAGGAAGGAAACAAACTTCGGCCATTTTAGGGGTCAACTATGAACACATTAGAACGTGTTGAGTTGGAGATGCTGCTGGTCCTCAAGGTGGACACCCCCCAGGTAGTTGGCTGATGCATTGTGGGAAGCCTGAGCTGGGGAACCAGATTTGGGAACCCAAATAAACAGGTGGTTTCTGAAGGTAGGAATATCCAGGCAGAATGCGTGGAGTGAGCAGAGCAGTAAGGGAAGAAGAGAGCTTGGCGAACATCAAAGGAGAAAAAAGTAGGAGGAATGATCAGGGAGGTCTAAGAAGAGCCAGAAAGAGGAGCATGGAGGTAGAGATGGGAGCTCTCTGACAGAAGGAAATAGCCAACATCGAAATAGGAACGTCCAGTAAGATTTTAAAATGTCTTCTGGTATTGACAACTGTAAGTGGTAACCTTGGAGTGGGTTGGGCGGGGGTGTTTGCTGCTGATGATATTAAAATAAATGGCTTCAGGGAGAGAATGAAGGCAGAAGAGGAAGGGTGATGCTGGTGGGGAGTGGATGGCAAGAGAGGTGGAGTGCCTGAGCGGACCACGCTAGTGTAGACCGCTCTTTGGAAAGCTTGGAAGACAGATGCCCAGAGACACTAGAAGGCCACCTACGTCCCCCCAGAGCCTCCTCATTTTGTTCAGAAACCACTGCCTTCTACCTTCCCCAAAGACCCAAACCATTCAATTCCATAGTAATGGCTCTGCTATTTTATAAAGAGATTCAAGTGTTCTGCGTGAATCTTGCTTCCCTGATGATTCTGGGGTTGTCTTGCCTCCCCTGCCACACACACACTGGATGAGGAGATGCTAGGATTAAAAGAAGTCTAGGCTCAGGGAGAGATGTCAGTCCCTGGAACCTGGGAAGAGTGTAGGAGAAACAGCAAAGCATAAGCCGTCACATCCGAGGTAGGCTGAACCAAAAGTACGTGGCTAAGATTCATGGCCAAATGGGAAAGCAGAGACCTTGAGCACTCTGAGTGAATCAGCATCACCCTGGAAGGCAGGGCTTGCCAGAATGAGGAGGCCCTGGAAGGGCCCACAGTAACTCTTCCATCTGTCTTAGCTGTGCCATCAGGCAGCTGGCAGGTCCTCCAGAGAGGCCGAGGACAGCATCTTTTGTCTGGTGCCCTTCACAATCCTGGTACAGTCCTCCTCGCAGACAACATACTTAGTACAAACCTGTTGCATGCAGTCAGACCCACACGGAGCAGGCCAGCTGCCCAACCTCTGCTTCCCACACACAGACTGCCAAGCCCCAAGCTTCAGCAGTATCATCTCTGTGCCCATGGAAGGCAGCACCAGCTCCCTTCCTGCTCCTCCCAGCTCTGGAGTTTGTTCTCCTTCCGAGAACAAGTTCTCACTACAGAAGCAAGGAAATTGCACTGCTGTTCCGAGGAGAGCGCAAGGGCCCAGCATCCGCCCCTGGAGGTGTGTTCCTGACAGCAGCGTGCTAGGGCACTAATCCTTTCCTGCTGCTTGGCCGCTGGGCTTGAGACGCTATTTCCAACTCTGAGAGATACCAGAGATGAGGTTTTAAAGGGCTGGTTATTTATGGCCTGGCTCCTGATGGATACAACAGATGCAATTTCATGGGCTGCATCAGAAGAGAACAATTTCTTGGTGTGGCTTAAAGCATCGTGATGTGGCAGGAAAAGGACGGGAGAAGAGGGTATTGCGCAGCCTTGGTGGAAGGCAGCGAGTTCTGAATCTCAGCCAGAAGGGGCCCACTCATTACCA